CGATGAAGATTGTTATAGATTTGTGGGATTTAAATAGTGAGTGGAGATGGAAAATGGACATTTCTAGAGAGATGTCGAGAGAGAGAGTCGGATAATTTTGAGTTTGAAGTGTTTCGGTAATGTTCGAGAAGCGTCTTGATCGTTCTGGTTTTTGAGAAAAATTGTTGTAATTAAAGTTTTGGATAAATGTGGGCCATTTTATGTCAATATGGGCTTGAATGAAGAGTAGTAAGGCCCATTATGGATAGGAAGGAAAGTGAATTCATCCGGTTTAGTACGGTTCATTAGGAATTTAGTGCGAAAATTAAATTGGTTAGTGATTGATTATAAGTCGAACCGCATTGATACGGTTAAACCGGTGTCTACCGCACCTTTGAATGTCTGATCACCTACCTACCTAGCTATTGAAACACGGTTTAGAGATGGTATAATTATCATCTGTCTGATCACACCAAATACCATCTTCTTATTTTCTTTCAATCCTTTTGATTGACGATAAAACCAAATCATGGGTTCCATTTTCAAAGAACTGGCTTAGAAACTCTACAACAACAAAAATGAATACTCTTGTTGAGCCTTAAAACCCTTTCACAACTTGTATTCTTTCGGTACATAAGAACATAACTCATAGCACATTTATCATTTTATGAAACTTGCTTAAAGATCATTTCATGTATAAATCTCGCAAATGGCTTATGGCTAAAAAGCCTTTGCATTGTGATTTACGTAACTTTTCGATCGAGTTTAATATCACTAGTTGGTTAAAGAGTATAGTGCAGATCAATAAGTTGATATTGTTGAATTAGTCTCGAAATCCAATATTTTGATCCGCCGATGAAGAGTCTCAAAGTTTTTTGTCAGTTTATATTTGTACATGTGATGCACAAAAGTTTCTCCAAAGTCTGTTTTTTGCTTCAAAATTTGGAATCGGAAACAAAAGCTCTTCGCAACGTTTTTCTTCTTATGAGAGATGTATAGAAGAAGAAGTATAAAAACAAGTCTCTCTTTCACAATGTCTTTCGAACCTGTGATGAATTTGATGATGTTTTCCAAACAGTGAAAAAACGTGTAGCTTTCCCAAGCAAAGCTTCTACACAAAGCTAAATCATCTACTACATTAACGAAGAAACTTTCTAAGATTGTAGTTTTGTTCTTCTTTCCTTTAGACACTTATTGATCATCATTCTTCTTTCTTTTCGATCATCATTGGTATCACATTGCTATGTCGTCTAGACACTTACGCACATCTGTGATAGTTATTTCTCCTGAACCCATGCATCTTTCAATAAATGCGGA